CCCCCCCCCGCCAAACCCAGGACCCACATTTGCTACCTTACAAGAGACTCATTTCAGACATAAAGACACACAAAGATTGAAAGTGAAGGGATGGAAAAAGACATTCTATGTAAATGGGAATGAAAAGAAAGCTGGGGTACCAATGATTATATCAGACAAAATAGATTTGAAAACAAAGACCATAACAAGACAAAGAAGGGCACTACATAATGGTAAAGGGATCAATCTAACAAGATGACAAAACAATTATAGTATCTTTGCACCCAATACAGGAGCACCTGAATATACAAAGCAAATATTAACACAAAGGGAGTAATTAACAGTAATACATCAGGCTCTTGAACAACACAGAGCTTAAGGGTGCTGATCACCTGTGCAGTCAAAAACCACATATAACTCTCGACTCCACAAACCTTAAGTACTAACAGCTTACTGTAAACCAGAAGCCTTACTGAAAACATAAACAGTTGTTAACACATTTTGTATGTTAGATATATTATATACTTTTATATTATAAAGTATTATATTTTGTATGTTAGATATATTTACAATAAACTAGAGGAAAGAAAATGTTATTAAGAAAATCATAAGAGAAATATATTACTGTACTCATCAATACCATAAGTTAATGTACATTTACAAGTATCATGTAGTACCTATATTAATACTGTCTTATACAAAACACTGTTATATGTATACAGCAAAAATAAAGACATTGTGAAAAAAATTATATTTACAAAATAAAAACTTTCTAATATATGTTGAAAAAAAACCTGTAAGTGGACCCGCATAGTTCAAACCTGTGTCGTTCAAGGGTCAACTGTACAATAATAGTAAGGAACTGTAACACCTCACTTACAGCAATGGAAAGATCACCCAGACAGAAAATCAATAAGGAAACAGTAGCCTTAAATCACACAATAGACCAGATGGACGCCTACCACCCCAAAATAGCAGAATACATATTTTCTTCAAGTGCACATGGAACACTCTCCAGGACAGATCACATGTGAGGCCACAAAACAAGTCTTGATAAATTTAAGAGGACTTAAATCGTATCAAACATCTTTTCTGACCATGACTGTATTTCAAGGATACTGATTTCAAGGAAAAAAAACCTGGAAAACACAGAAACATGGAGGCTAAACAACATGCTACTGAACAGCCAATGGGTCAACAAAGAAATCAAAGATGCAATAATAAAAATACCTCGAGGCAAATGAAAATGGAAACATACATTCCAAAATCTATGGAATACAGCACAAATGTCGTAAGAGGGAAGTTTACAGCAATCCAGGCCCACGTCAAGAAACAAGAAAAGTTTCAAACTAACGTTACACCTAAAGGATCTAGAAAAAGAACAAGCAAAGCCCAAGCTTAGTAG